GCCGAAAAACCGATGCCGGTAGCGACAAAAACTGCGAGGAACTCTGCAAAAAACGCATCTTCGCACAGGCAGCCCGTGCGTTGGCCAATTTTCATTAATTATCAAAATTCGATTGTGTTCTTCTCCACGGTGGACCAGTAACGCCAAACAAACTGTATATGTTAACACTTAGAAGATTTCAGGCCCCCGTCTTTTTCTAGTCTCCTAGCCAGGGATATTCACTGTTTTTGTATCTTTAAAATTTCTACAACATTTAGTTCTTTCCAGGTGTCCAAAATGTGAGTTAGGCATCACTACCTCATCTCGAATGTTGGATGCCCCAAAAATTATGTTGCGGCATTTTACTGACGATATGAAATACCACCCATAACCACACCTTGCATTGTCTATGTTTACAGCTAAGTGATGAAACACATACAGATCACCCACCGTACATTTGCCCTGAACATGACCATTTAACTTATCAACTGATTTGTTCCACATTAACAACCCAACTATCTTACCCGCCACCATTCTTTATCAAATTCTATTCTTTCAGCCTTGAACTGTATAGAATTCAGCTATGCTGAACTTCCTTCGGTTTGTACAGTCCTCTACTGTATATGTTATTCTTTGGCTTACCTTCGGCAGCAAATTACCACTGCACATTTACCACAATTCCGATATTCCTGCTTGGAATTTTGACAGGACTTCCATAACATAATCTACATTCAGCCTTCACACATTGTCCTTACTACATGCTGCATATCATATTTACAACATATTTAGGGTTTTTGAGAAAATATGAACAAAAAGATGAAAGGGTTGTAAAGAATTATTAAAGTTGGTAAGAAATGTTTCGGTCCATTAAGTGGTAGGTAAGAAATATTTCAGTCCACAACATATGCTGTTTTATTATCTTAGCTTCGCTCCTTATTCTTCGTTTTTCGTAGCCTCCTTAATTTCTATTAATCCTTTCCATACTGAGAGATTCAGCACCACTGTTTTGGCCCCTCTGTACCTCTAATATTTCCAATATAAGTGTACCCCACTCTTCCATCCTTTCCCTTTTGTTACCAGCTTACACCTACATATTTTTTGGTCATTCCTTCCCCACCATTTTACTCAGTTTACATTCTACTTCATTCCATGGCCCTTTCTTTCCTTTCTATTTTAATGTGTTGTTCAAAGATGCACCGCATTTTTATTCAGTTTGGTACTATCTCATTTCGACAATGCTGCCAAAAAGCAGCCGCCTCGTGCCGGATGCTGTGACATCTGTGATGAGCTTATCAACCAGGAAAATAGCGCAAATGGTGCTTCAGTTACTAGCACGAAAGATTACGGTGATGAAGCTCTAATACTGCTCCGAGCCATCGAGATTTTCCAAGGATCAACCGGTCTCGGCAAAGTGATTGATTTTATTAAAGGGGTAATTTCCTTTTTTTGTATGATTAATGCTTGGAAGGGTTCTGACCCAGTGACTGATAAATAGTTATTCAGCTAATTTGGACCAGCTATAATTTATAGTCTGATTCTCAAATCGTGCATCTTGCAGCCTTTCCAGTTGTGTAACACACGGAGGACGGATGGAGGCCTACTCGGCTGGAGGGGATGCCCCTCTGGAACTGCGGGGCGCACTCGTCCCAAACCAACAAACAATGATTTATTTATTCGAAAAAAAAAAAAAAAAAAGATAGAAACAAACCGAGAAGCGCGGAAAATCCGGCAGCATCTTCAAGCTGCCCCGAACAGTAATAATCTGGCACCCCAAAACAATCTCCATTTCATTTCTAATCGCATCATTATATATCACGGAGGGAGAACTCGAGTCAGGAGACGGAGCATTTGCATATCACATGGGATCGAGTGGGTAACTGGGCAAAGCGAATGAAATTAGCCGCCAACTTCATTACCTTTCTGTTAACCCCTTTCTTTTGCAGTAAAGTTGCGTTGTCCAATACTGCACTGCTTGGTGGTCAGGCACTGGCGATTCTGGCTTTTGTTTTATCCCCTGAAAAGGGTTGCCTGCTAAAAGATCATGCGGACAGAAGCACTTGACATGTCGCTCTTGTTTTAAGATGTCTTTAAAGTTTACGTTAAACATCAGTATCTTGCTACAAATCATGATTTTCCTGAACCACAGTGAAATCATGTCTTACTGGACCATAGGCGGATCCAGAGCGGCCTTCTGGGGAGGGAGGCATTTTTTTCTCTCGTTTTGTTGACGTTTTAAAAAGACAGAGATACAGACACACACACATACACACACACACACACACACGCACACATATATATACACACATTTATACACACACAGCACTCAGGATTCTGTGAGGGTCGTTGTAAGCTTATGAAATTCAAATAAAATTCGAATAAGTGTAAGAGTTACACCCCTTTCTTTCACCTGATCATCGCATCGGCAACACCCACAACCCCCTCCCCCCCTCGCTTTCGCTGGTGGACACTAAACTGAGAGTAGCAGGGCTCCTGGGGTGGTGGGAGAGGGGCAAGAGGGGGTATCGAACAGACTTTTGTGCAGTAAAATAATTGCTACCTGAGCCCCTAAGGGCGAGAGAGGAGGTGAGTGAAAGACCTGGATTTGCCAATGTACAGGTCAAATTGATTGGAACATTTAGGCACATAAGGCGAATTTTCAGATTAATTTTTTAGAAAGCAAATGTCGCATTGAAAAAACAAATTAACCATTATTATGGATCAGGCAAGCATAAAACGGAAGCATTTTGGAAAGAGCTGGGACGGCTA